CCCCCCGGGCCCAAAGGCGGCAGCCTCTCCCTCTCACAGCCCTAAAGCGGCAGCTTCTCTCCCTCACGGCCCTAAAACTGCAGCTTTTCCCTCACGGCCCTAAAGCGGCAGCCTCTCCCTCTCACAGCCCTAAAGCGGCAGCCTGTCTCTCTCACAGCCCTAAAACTGCAGCTTCTCTCCCTCACAGCCCTAAGCCTCAAACAAAACCGTCAAACAAAACACTGTTGCTGGCTGTTACTTGGTACAACAAGTAGCTGTTCAGCCTGGATTATAGTTACGGCTCAAGCCTTTGCAGAAAGTCACACAGGACACAGCAGGAGAAATCGTTTTCCCGATTCATTTTTTTTTTATTATTTTGGTTTCCAATGTTTACAGCCTTGATACAGGAATAATTCATGCAAATTTATCACCTTAAGTACAGCAGACAGAAAACTCACTGGTAAGAGTATTTTGAAGAGCTCCATGGACATAACAACAAAAATAGGTAGCAGCAATAAGATAAAGTGCATTTACCTGGCCTTCTTTAATAAGAGTTTGGGGAGCTTGCTCCTAGAATTACTTGTTCTAAGGATTATTTATCATTACCTATGGAAAGCAGAAGATAAAAGCCTCCTTGCTGATAGTATTCATTCCTCCCCCAGTCTGAATTAAAGAAGCACAGTCTCTTTTTATTTTTTAAAGAAGAATGCAACTCCTGGTCAATTCATTTAAACTCTGATTCTCAATGACCTGGTTTCTAGTGACAAGGATCACACATATACTTTAAAAAAAGAAAAAAAAAAAAAAAAGTTCCCTGCTCATGCTAGCAGTTTTGTTTCTTAAAAAATTCCAGTGGTTCTTCCCCCCTTCTATAGGTTATGTTTGAATGTCCCAGCAAGAAAGTGTGCCTTACCAAAATCTGAGCTGTACCAGAAACACACACAACGGCAAGACACCATTTTCTAAGAATGTGCCAATCTTTTCCACTTTACAGATCAAGCACCAGCTCTGAAGTTCAGATCATTTATTGGATTTCCCCTTTAGGCCTGTTAAAAAGATGGCAGCAGCACAAACCTTCAAGCCTGGTCAGCTCCCTTCTAGAGCTGTTGATTAATGGAATCAACAAATTCCCTCTTGTATCAGGGACGTGCTTAGTGTTTAACTCAGCTGCATAGTACGCAGTTTATTATAGATGCCGAAGGGACAGCCTGGGAGATACGAGTCTCAACCTACCCCAGCTTCTAATTGATCCAGGATAGCCCAGATCTTGCTGTAAAGATTAAAACAGCTTCAAGTATTTACTGTACAGAACTTTCTGTAGTTCTGAACTCGCAGCTGGGACCTGCTCACAGACAACCCATATTTTCTGATATATTTGATGCTGGACAGATTTACATTCACATTAACCCCAAGACTGTAGTTCCCAATTTTGGATTCCTTAGGGATTGGGGGTGGGGGAACAGAAAGGTCATATCTAAAATATGTGATATAATACTCATCTACTAAGTAGAAAAAAAATATTTTGCAACAGGGGAATCTGATCCTAGTGCTACTGAAATCAGTGGGAATTTCTTCACCAATTACAATACGAAGAGATTCAAGTCCTTGCAATTCCTAAATCTTAGACTCAAAGTTAAAAATTGCACAGGGGAAAACCCAAAGATCAATTTGACCTGTCTGCCAGTAGAGAGCATTAAAAAAAAATTCATATTAATCATGTTACTGCATTGACTATTCTATCCTATGGAAACTCTACACAGAGCAAAATCTCTTACGGTTTGTAATCCACGTGCTGTCTGTGTGGCCAAGTAGCGGTAATGGAATTCCAAAGTACTGCTTCCAGAAACACAGCTATGCATTTCCAGGAAAATGCATTCATCAGTTTATCTCATAATGCAATTATCTGCATTGTCAGCTGGCTTTCCTTTTTCAGTCCCGATTTCTTCCTCAATAAGATGCCAAATTATCAAGACATCAAAATGAATACTAGCTCCTTTACAGCACAAACTATTTGTTGATGACATGAAACAGGAGAGGTTGCTTTGTTGAACGAGACCTCTAAAGAGGAAGAAAGCAAATCCAAATACAGTTTACTAAAGCAAAATCTTATTCTCTCTTACTCTGGGAGGTAACTGGTTTTGGTCATAGTTTTGAACATGCTGACAGCAATGAACTTTTCTATGAAGAGATAAGGTGCAGCTGGTTGTCATATTTTGTAGTATCGTTAACCTAGGAGATATGCTGACATGGACTTTAAAAGTCCTGTGAAAGCATCTTTACACCTGTGTGTCACAGAAATCAGTGTTTAGACAAGTCACACATACATGAACTTGGGGCTTTGAATGCAAAAAGTTCTATCTGCCGGTAGTAAAATGACTGAATCCAAACTGAAAGATGTGTTATAATGACTTAATGTGATTAAACGTTTGCTATTTTAAGCTGACCAAATTTTTAAACTGACCAAACTGTTACCATTTAATTTCGCTTTAAAAAGCCCCCTGTTAATGTATGAGGCAGACATTACTTCTGAAGTAGCCCAGCCTCTCAAGCAGGAAAAACAAGTTACAAACAGCTAGTGTTTAGAGGTGGGACACGAAACGGGAAAGCAGAATCCTACTGTTCACACAGTGACTGGAAACGTAGTAACTGGCTTTTGCTTATCCCTTTGGGGATTCCATCACCCACCATGTTCTCTGCAGTAATTAAGAGAGCACTGAGGGGAAACCGCTGATTTTCTTTTCTTCTCACACTATCTGCTTTGTTGCAGGTATTGGTGTGTGAACATGTTGAGTTCACTGTCCAGCCAACCTGCCTTATTCCTGCCAAGACAAAAGAAGTCCTTATTAGATGAAAAGAAGTCTCTATTAAATGAAAAGAATAGCTTTTCTCAAGTTAATCCGAAAGAAGCATGACTAAAACTCGTCAACAGTAAGGCACAGGTAGAGATCTATTCCAAAATGATGCCCTCCAGGTCAGGGACACTTGTTTGCTAACTTGAATTTGAGTTTGGGATTGCCAAAATCTTGAGTATAGCTTCAAAGTGATCTTATCCTTTCTGCAAGTAAGAAATATTTAGAGGAAAAAGAAGAACAACAAAAAAATCCATACACACACACACCCCAAAACTTCCCAGCTCAACCTTTTAAGGGTAAAGAAACACATTTGATTCTGTTGTATAAAACATGTGAGGCAGAGACCTTCCTAGGAGTAGAGGACTTGATTTTTAGGAAAGGGGAAAGGAACTGTAATTCTGAACAAATCAAGAGCAAGACAAAACAGTTGTTTGATGAGGGAGAAGGTGAGGTGTGACAGTGCAGGGTCTTAGCATCTTTCCTTTTTCTAGTGGGAAAAAAAAATAGAGTTGTCCACTGCTCACTGATCCCTCAAGAATCTCTCTTCTCCCTCAGTATCCGAGAGACAGAGACTACACGATATTGCCATAGCATTAAAGTGAGGCTTTGTAATAAATGGCAACAAATTATTTTTCAGATAATAGTGTAAGGGGAAGGCTATCTGACAGAGAAAGAGGTTTGATATCTTCACATCAAAAGCTATGGTATCACTGCACTAAAAAGATGCATCATAATCTGAGTAATTTGTAGCAAACTTTACATTGCAGAAAAAAACATTATATACAGATGTTTGTGCATAAGTGACAATAAAGTCTAACCTGAGCAATTTGGCTTTGCTCTGCAGTGAATCCAAAACTTCAATTTTTTTATTCATGGCAGAAATCTCCTGCTCAAGATTCTCCCGTGTGACATCCACTTGCTGACACAAGTGAGCAAATGTTCCAGCAAGCTCTCTACAAAACAAGACAGAGAAGAGTTAGAGATGAAGAAAGGTGAGATCAAGCACCAGATTCAAGAAATAAACCCTTTTGATGTGCAGTGATGATACTGACTCTGGAAAGCTCACAATGAAAACATCTTTCTATTTCTTCATGAAAATCTTTCAGAGACAAAGCAACATGATTTGAAAGATTCAAGCACATCATGTCAAGATTAATGTTTAAAATCAACCAAATGCTGGTGAGCAACCAAACAACAGGCAGCTCACCAAACATAATACTGTTTTAAAACACAGGTATAATCATATTTTTAAAACGAGTTCGATACACAGAACTGTCTTGTTTTTGCAAACAATACTACGTTAAAAAACAAACAAAAAACAACAAACACAGAAGTCAGGGAAGAGTTTAGCTGAATGTAGGCAACTCACTGTTGGACTTGATGGCTGCAATTGGAACCTGTATAACTGACGATGAGCTGCAGTTTCTCACCAGCGTACTCTACAAACTGGCGTTTGAAAGCTCTCTCCTTTGCTTTTGTGGTCCAAGTGAGACGTTCGTATACATAAAGGAGCCCATAAAGGCCCAAAGAAAGAGCAATAAGTCTCCAACCCACAGCCTTCCAGACCTAAAATCAACACATGAAACAAGCAGACAAAATAAAGCCATGACCATCAGTCAAGAACAACGCTAGCTCTTTACAGTCATCATTTAAACTACACTTACAAGTGCAAAAGCAAATTCTGCTGTTCACAGATTCTCTGTTTCTGAGGTAAAAAGCATTTTTTAGACAACAATCTTCCTTTTGAGCAGTCATCTGTCCTTAGACACTGATGCTAGAATACTATGTAGATAAGGGACTGACCCAATACTAAAGTTACCAAGTAACTTTAGTTACATCTGCTACTCTGCTGTAGTTTTAGGATTCAAAACATGTATTTTTTCCAGAAGTTTTTTTTTTTAAAAAAAAGAGAAGAAAGTTCTTTCCTAAGAAATTGAGGCATAGTATCTAAAATTAAGCACACTCATTCCCTTCCAGGAATGCAGATGCATACAATCAGAGGCCACTGGCAGAAATTTCATTTTCAATCTCTGTTTTGATTCTTCTGTCAATAGGAAAAGAAAAAATATTTATTTTTTCTTTTATTCTCCCAAAAATATCAGAAATAACTTTATGGGATTTTTTTTTGGTAATTTGCTTTCATTTAGCTTCACAACCTGGCTCCAAACCTAACTAGTAGGTAAAATAAGCTCAATATCTATACACAAATGGAAGATTTAAGGAGAACGTATTTTGATATCTGTCAATCACAAATATCTACAGAAATCAGTAGGGTAAGTACTTTGCAAATCAGTGCTCCAACAATATTTATATAAATGTTTCTCAGATTATCAACCCACCACGCCACCAACCACGAGGATCCCCATGGAAGTTCGGGAAGTTAATGAGGCCAATCCAGTCACCATAGACACCATGAGCTCTTCCTGGGTCATAGAACCCTGAGGCAAAGGAGGCAGACTGGGATTTGCTGGTGTTAAAGGGCGTTGAATCTAATCAGAAAAGCAGACAAAATAACAAAAAAGTACAGGAAAAAAAAAAAAAGATTATACACACAGCCCTTCCCACCAATAAGGCATCAGCAGCCACTGGAATTAGCAAGTATTAGATCTACCACTGACCATGCAATGAGGTATCTTACCTGGTCATTATAGCCCATCAAGGCCCGACGACCATTCTTTGGTCCCAAAAACCTATTCACCAGCATTGTCCATCCAAGAGAGAAATGGAATTCTATGTCCTCTTGGAAGTCAGCACAAAGCTTGTCACAGTTCAGATCATAGCTGAGCGTAAAGCACTGTCGAGGAATTAACATATCTATCTGGCCCCGCAAAGACACTGGGAGAAGGGGTTTTAAACCATCTGCATAGAGAGCAAGCAAACACAAATATAAAAAGGCTGTTGGTTTCACTAGGATCAGCTGGACTTCTATTCTGTAATCAGAGTACTTATTGATTGCTCTATTTTTGCAGTTATTGTTATTAGTATCTTTAAGTTGGCCAAATATCTTGCAAAGTAAAATACATCTCACAGAAAACATTCTTCAGTGCTTAGACCTTTACATCAGCTCACAAATAAATCTTTCTGTGGACCTTCCCAAATCCCTCGGGTAGCATGCAAAGTTTATAGTTCAGCAACGGCTTGGAAAACAATCTGAGGACAAATTTTAAAAGGCACTTAGGTGCCATACTCTGTCCACACTCTATTAAAGGCTACACGCAGACAAGCTTCTAATTATGAGTCATCTGTGTTTCATTAATATCCTGGCCTAAGAATTTCTGAAGCTTCCAAAGGCATGATTCCTCTCTCATTCTCACAAAGGATTAAGCAGACTGATCACATTTTTTAGCAAATCAGGGCACAAGTTCAGGCACAAAGTAGAAAAAGGATGAATAACTACTCCAGAAGCTAAGCAGCTACCAGCTGTCTGTCAGCAAGAGCAAAAAGAACCACAGAATATCCATCTAGTTGTTTTGTATTACAGTAAAGGAAAGAGAAAGAGAAATACTGTCTGCTGATCTGACCTATCATTTCTTGCTGCATTGTCTGCAGGGAAGCTGTGATAGCATTGGAGCAGCGGTCCGACATGTTACGGCCCAAACCTTCCTCAATGTGCTTATGTAGCTCCTGACAGAAACAAACAAAAGAGTTATTGAGCTTAAAAACAGCTAAGACGCAACTCAAGTTCCAGTATGCCCCTCCACAATGCAAGATAAATATGAAAGGCTTCGTTCACACCCTAAAGGGCAAAATGAAATCTCAAAGAGTTGGCATAATTGCTGTCTCAGACCAAAATAAGGCCTGCTCGCACAGATTATGCGGTCTGTAAAAAGCAAACATCACTTACGTTCTTGTAAACTTTAAGAACAACTTGAGATGGATGGAAGTCTGCTTGGTATTCATCTACCAACACTGAAAGCCGTCTAATTTCTTCAGCCATTGCATTTGATACCTGGAGAAACAGCCACAGAGGACAGAGTTACTAAACAATCTGTTTCAAGGAGAGATAGAAACTACCACTTGAATCACACATTTCTTAACAAGCACTAACAGCCAGGCACTATGATTTTGCAGAGGGCCTTTGTGGGCCAAACGCAAAATGCAATCTTTGCGACATGCAAACCAAAAATGTTTTATTGATCATGGCTCAGAAATACATAGACCTATGTTCTGTACAGCAATGAAGACCACGCTGGTGACTCTTTCAGATCATCTCTTTTCTGCTTTTAAGCACTCGCTTTTCTTTACCTGTCTCTCCACTTCTTCTGTGATCTGTTTTATCTTCCGCTTATAGTCTTGAGTAAGGAGCTCCAGCTGTTTATCAATAAAACCTAAACGTTCCTGTCGCTCCTCTCGCATTTCCAGACAGTAAACTCTGATGGAAAGAAGAAGTGCTCATCAAAAAGCCAGGTTAGCACATCTCTGAGCTACAAATACTTTTGGGGTTCTGAAGATGAGAGAGATTTTCAAAGGCAACAGCACAAGGCAAAGGCACAAAGTCCAAAGGCAAAAAGTGGCAATATCTAAAATGCATTATGCATATAGAGGACAAAAAGGAGGGTCCCCCTCTAATACTCTTTTTGTTTATTAAAGGCAAAACTACTACTGGTACATGGTCCTCCCAATTCCAAACACTCTGCACTTAAAATGCAAAGCAGAATGCAGAGGTGCTCCCATTCCCTTGGAATACCCCCAGAATGCAAGCACCAAGCATCAGCATCTCCTCACCGCTGTTCCTGGGCAGCAACATGCACAGAATCCATGATAAGACGAACATCTTCAGCAATCTGCTTTGCTCTCACTGTATGCTGCTCAAATTTTGTTTTTACTGCAGACTGCGAGATACATTCCTGCATACAAGAGGCAGCCAAGATTAGCAGCAGTCAGAAGCATACTAACCCAGTTTCTTTCCCATATCATTTATTTTCAAGACAGGGTCCATTCCATTACTCTTAGTTCCCAGCCACTCAGGAATATAACTTAAAAAGAAAGTTAGCACATGTAACACCCACCTCAAATCTTCTTTCAAAGTTCTGAAACTCAAACATTCTCACTTGAAATCCATCTGCCAATGCTCCACCTGAGGAAAGTACAAAACAACCACTTAAATTTCATGAAAGCAATCAAATTTTGGACCCCAGGAAACACTCCTGCTTTACTCCGAGGCCAACGCAGTAGAGCTTCTGCTGAGTTATCTCATTTGGTTTTTGTTGCTCTTCTAACAGTATGATACTCTCCAGTTTTATCCACTTTTGGGACAAGATATTCTCTATCTTCTTCCCTTAAAAGAAAGCACGTAAATTTCTGCCAGCTTTCCTCACCTCCGGTTTTTGTTGCTCTTTAATAGAGACTATATAAAACTGCAGAGTATCATACTATCTTCTTCCCTTAAAAGAAAATGTAAATTTCTGCCAGCTTTCCTCACCTCCTTCTGGCATCCCTTGAGCCCTCTGAATCCTGGCATTCAGCACTTCCTTTGCTGACACAAAGAAAATCCGATCCCCTGCCTGGGCTCGATCCACCACACCCAGCTCATCCACCAGGAAGCTGGTGCACCGCTCCATGTGCTGCCGACGCACCTGAAGGACAAAACCCGCGCTCAGTTAAATCCGCTTGAGGCTCCGGGTCATAACAACCAGATCAGGCAATGAGATGCCCTCTGCTGGTCTAAGATACCAATATAAAAGAAAATAAAATTTACAGAATCTTCCAGAGGTTATCCAAGTGATGTAACATCAAGAGAGCCTGTGAAGCTCCTGGCTTCCAGCTCAGAAATGTGTAGTATCCCATTCTGACCACTACCTTATACTCACTCAAGATTACACTACAGTGGTTAATATCTAAACTGTAAAATGATCATATCTAACATGCTGTCATTCTAGGCCACAAAGAGCCGTGTCAAAATGGACTCCATAATGTTCACGGAAAAAAGAGAAATTTAAACACACCACAAACCTCTTCCATGTATTCTGGTTCAGAAGCAGATGCATCCCAGCGGTTATTTAAGATAAATATATTGGGTCGAGACAAACGTTCATTCACTTTGTGGAAGAACTGTTTCTCCTAAGAAAAA